TGCTCACAATGGACACACAATAGACGCTCTTTTTTTTTTAAAATCTTTGAACACGTCTGCTGACAATGGTCGCACAATGGACGCCCTTTTTTTCAATCTTTGAAGACGTCTGCTCACAATGGACGCTCTTTCTTTTCAAAAAAAAAAATCTTTATTGAACACGTCTGCTCACAAGGGAGCCATCACTTCTTCGTTAACCCGAGGAAGCGTCACTTCCTCGTGTACGGAAGTCGAGAGAAGTCGAGTGGCGCATTCAAGTGGGCTCGGTTTGGTCGAGAACCGAATTTCGGTCGTAATCCGAGGTCTTAAAAACTCGAAATTTTTGGTCGAAAACCGATTTGGTCGAGAACAGAGACGTTCGAAAACCGAGGTTTGACTATACAATCAAACAAGAATGCAGAGATCCCATCGAAACCATCGAGCACATTTTTGGAGGACCATAAAATCCCATTCAGTCGTGACCTCGATGACATTCAGTTCTTGAATTCGTCAATTGATTGCTACAAAAAAAAAAAAGTCATTTTTACACAGAAACCTCAAACCCCCCCAAAACCACAAACCTTTGAGCGTGACTTAACAGAACCTAAATCGCACTGATGGTCCGCTTGAAGAAGAAAAAAAACGTCATCGTTTTCAGAGGCGGTGTGATGAGAAAGTGCTCAGCAGGCCCACTTGTGTTCTTGACGTCTGGACGGAGAAGAGCAGAAGCAAACCGTGAACGAGAATCCACATCAAGATGTGGCCAAGAGCATTTCCAGTTTCCAAAGATCATGTGGAAGCTAACTCACTGTGCGACGGCCGCCGTGTCTCACTTGGCAAGGGGCTCGGGATCGGTGGAAACGGCTGAGGAATTGCAAGCACAGCGTGAGATGTGAAGCGAAACAAGTCACGCTCGCGCCAAAGAATTTGCTCTGCCGAGACGTTCACTGCCGAATGAATCTTGCAGCGCTGTCCGATCTTCTCCTTGCGTCTTTTTGTCCTACAACTGTTGCCGCGTCTGCGCTGTACAGTACGCGGCGTCATGTCACGTATTCTTTATCCTCTGCGTCAAAACAACTAATATTAGTGACGTTCCGATGTCCTCAAAGGATTTGAGATGCCTTAATTAGCGTCTGACTTATACTGTCCAATATGGCTGAAGCTCAGTGGCCATCAATCAGCAGTGAGACCAAACAAGAACAAACATGTTCTACCTTATAAAATTGATTTCATGATCACATGACTGCGTGCGTGTATGTATGATTTTTTCTCATACAATTTTAGGGAGGGCTATTTGAAATGACACCTGACAACCATTATTTGTTGTCTTTTTGGGGACGGCTGAAACGGATGAATGGCATTTCTGTTCATTTCAATGGACAAAAGAGGATTTTTGCGAGGCTCGTGGTTTCGGTTACGAGCACAGCCACTCAACAAATTAAACTCGTGTGAAAGGCACCGATGTAGTTTTGTTCTTTTTTGTGCACAGCGAGAGCTTCTCATGGGGGTTCTCCATCAACATTCACGTGTGCATCGTCACGTAGCCGACTTTTCCTGCCGTTTCAAGCGACTCCTGATTCACTCTTTGGTGGCAAAGGCCTAAATCGGACCTTCGTGGAACTGCCCCGTTTATTGTGGCTCAAAGGAAACTGAAAATGGTTTACTTACATGTTGCAGAGTATTGGGCTGGAAGGAAAGAGAAAGAAAGTTAGGATGACGGGCATTTTGGCACAAGTGGCGTGAGGTAGCGATGTTCTCTTTGGATCTTCACGGCAGACCAAATGTTGGCGTCCCTCACCTTGTCTGGTCCGGCGACGCTTGGCAAGGACCACGGCCACCGCGGCCCCC